TGGAGGCGAAATAACTGGAAGGTAAGTACGGATTAGAGTCAATTGTTGAAGAGGTAGTAGTTATCAATGAAGTATCACCTTTCATATAGATCATCTAACCATTGGATACTCATTCAAAGATGCCTCCTTTGCTTATGTGACAGTCAATATATAATCTATATTGAGTTTCGAGTCAAGTTATTTCTTGATTTTGATCATGAATGTAAGAAATCATTGTGTGATTGATTACGCAGTTAAACCATACCTAATCGTTGATTATTATTCCCCAAGTCGACTAAATAGTGAATTTACTGTTCCAAGATCGTTGTGACCAGTGTTACAATGGTGTAAGAACTAATGTTGAGTGTGGAAGCTTTCTATGTCAAATGTCGTTGGCAGTGTACTTGAGCCGTTCAATTGGCAGAATCGAGATGGTATAATCAGTCAAATTTACACTTATACATTTAACTTCGTTCTCTATTCAAATACGCGGGTTCGGGGAAATGGTGAAAGGACAATTGAAAGATGGTGGTAAGTAAATGGTGAATTTTTTCAATAATTTTAACCACTTGTCAAACAAGTGGTAGTACTTCTTATTTACTGAAGCATTACTCTGTTCTTCAAAATTCGCTTTTCCACTTCAATACTCATTTGAATGTTACAGATGCATTTTGTCCCCTCTAAGCTAACCTTTAAACGCGAGGTATACCAACTCGATCATTAAATTGCTTTTGCTTGGGACATATACTACTTAAGTGTTTATTCACACTGCCCTATCGGAAAAAGTCTAACTGATATTCTTACTCTAATTAGACTTTAGAGACCTCTTAAACTAGAGACGATTTTTAGCTATCCGTCTCAGATCGCTAAATATAAGAGCATTTGTAGTTAAAAATAGGATAAAACTGGAACTATTAGGGGCTGGTAATAAGGGCAGTTCCATCATTGTTGGAAACTTTTCAAGTTAGAGGAAAGAGTAGTTTCAGTGAATTCAGCAAATGGTTAAAGATGCAAAAACCTCCTCAAAATGTCTCAGTTAATAGAGAGAAAAATAGTAATAATAAACTTTTTTAATGGCACTGAAAAAGCTTTACCTATGTTGCAGACTTTTTCATTAAAATTCCTCATTCTTTAGCTTTAATATATGATATTCGAAATCGCCACCACTGTACCTACTACAACGTGCAAATTTGATGAAATGTAGTCCAAGGCGAATTATTGAAAATTAGTAACTCAATTTTTTGTTGTATCCTCTTGGAGATGAGAGTCGCGATCCAAGCATGGCCCATCCATCAGAACAGAGAACGCTCTTTCCACGGCATTAGATATCTCCCATAGAATAAGCTAATTAGTGTGGAAATGAGAACAATTTCAACTCTCCTTGCGAAATAGGTTGGAATAGTACTATTTCATTTGGTGGCTACCATGGCTGTTTCACCTGTTAGAACCTTCTCTAACAATTAAAGATGATAAATTTTAAAATATTATTATTTCATTATTCCAATTTATGATTATTTTCAAAAGACCAAAGAAGATAATATTTTGGAATGCTGTTTCAATAAACCTACGCAATAGACAAAGGTTCTGATAAAGTAGTTTAAACTGGAGCTAATTATTGTCATGCTTGAACTTGCAAGACTTCCAAAATTATCACTGCCAATTATCCAATACATTTTCATTTTCTGCAGATAAGAGGTGAAAGAAGAAGAAGGCAGCAACAATTCCAGACTTGATCGCTCATGATTAGACCCTGACCCCAAAAATTTCTTTAAGTGTGATTCTTTGTGAAATTGTGTCAATTTGGCATTGTAGTCTTTCAATTTGCAATGAGTGATGCATGGTATTTGCTATTGCATCCATCTTAGCAACTGTATTACCTTACTCATTACTAATGAAATAAGTAAACCGAGACAATCACTATTTCTAAATTTGAAATCTTTATATATATAAATATATATATATGATCGTATAATAAAATATGTTGATAAGTGTGAAGACACAAGAGTTGAATTTTAACTTGCTTCTTTTAATGCCACGTAACACATGGTTTTATCGATTTATCAATATCTTCATCAGAAACAAGCAACCACGAGAAAGCACATCATTCTGAGACTGGCTACCGGTACACTCTGAAGTCTATGTCACGTTTTGGTGTCACAATTTGGTTGGGGACCAACTATGCCTTTATAAATGATAAATTTGGTATTTGTTCGATTGTATGCAACCTCTTTCATGAACTGTAATTCCTAGAAAATTAACCAAATGCTTGGTCCCTTTATTTCTACACTTTTAAAATATAAATATTTGAAATATTTTAATTTAAATTAGTTTTGTAAAGACACTAAATTTGTAGGGAAAGCAAACCAACCAAAGAGCATTTTTTACCTGTGCAACTAGATGTAAACTTTATTTTGAGCTCTCAAAGGTCAAGGCTGTTCTGTGGAAGGAAAAATGAAAATCACAAATTCCAAATTACACGAAAATCATTTCATTCCGAGACTAACATTCATCAGAAACCGAAAATATAAAATCGTTGCCTTTTAAGTCTCCTTGGAATCTGATAACTTCAGATTCATTTATTCAATTTCTGGATGTTGGAATTCCTTAACTTTGATTGGCTTTCCTAGGTAGATAGAAAGAACCAATTAAAAACCTAATTGACCGAGTGTAGCAATTGGTAGATGGACCGAACAGAACATCATTTAGGCCAATCATCATTCAGTAATGGGAACACGCGAAAGTGACTTTCACGGAAAGTACCATTCATTTATTTTTCGAATAAAAATTATGCCGGGAGGGCCTGAATCATTTCTTATTGAAAATATTCTCAGGAAAAGTGATGACACTAACGAACGAAGTACCATGGACATATCTGCATTGGAGTCTTTCAACGATGTTGCATGCAATCCACATAAGCCTCCTTCGGATAAGGAACATACTAAAGACAACTCATCCTCCAACTCTGGATCGACGAACCTCTCTCCACCTCAGCCTGGTAGTTATAGAAGTGAAAGCAGTGAGGAATCACCTGCACTGAAGTTTTCCACTGAGTCAATAATGATGTCTTCGCCTGATATAAAACGAAATCGTGACTATTTATTCCCCATTGATGAAAGTGGTGAGCAGAGAAGAGGTTGAATGCTGGTCTATAAGGTTAAAATATGTAGTAACAAATATGTGTGTTTATTTCAGTTTCACCTCCGAATCAATTAACTTTTCCATGGTTGCATTTGCCACCAGTTTTGAGTGGATTTTATCAAGGAGGACTTACTGCAACACCCTCTGCACATTTTCCAACGCTAGTAACCCGAAAGAAAGACGAGAGCATTAAAATTACTCAATATTCTTCCTTTGAATTTGAACATGCTCTCTTAGAAGAAAATCGACCCAAAAGAGTACGAATAACTTTCTCCTCCTATCAAGTTAAAGTTCTTCGAGCCATATACTACCAAAGGAAGTATCTTTCAAGAACGGAACGGTCGAAGTTGTCAGGAATGCTGGGCGTCAGTGAACAGCAGGTGAGCTAGTAGTTGAAAGTACTTCTGGGTAAAAGGGACGAGGTTGCTGAATGTGTGATGGAGGGGAGGGGGTCTCTTCAGGTTCAATTTGTTTATAAGAGGTGGTGCATTGATCTCTGCGCACATTCAGTGAGTAGAATGGCCAACGACGCTGGCTAAGTCTCTCAGGTAAGATGGTGGGGAGAAAATCTTTACTCAAATTGGCATAAAATCCGTAATTTATAATACGAGGCTATAGAGGTCGCCATGTATTGATGTTAGGCCATACGGTATCTTCAGTTAATGCTGCTTTTTCTTCAATACGAAAGTGGGACACCAGAAAGAAGAATTGAAGTAAGTTGGTGGGGTTGGGGTGGTGGAGGGGAAGAGGGGTTAAAGAAAGTGACTAACACCTGTGTATTCCTTCCATTTCAGTTAAAAATTTGGTTCCAGAATCAACGATACAAGGAAAAAAGAGGCATTGAAGTGGAGAAGGAAAATGCCTACTTTTCAACAAATAATTCATCCCATGTTCAAATGGATCCGCTATTATCACAATTGGCACCACCATATTCATCGCACTCCGGTTTTGCGAACAAGTTGAGGGAAATTCTCCGTTTCCCACTTCCACCAACACTCCCACCTCCTCCGCCACTTCTATCACAAATGAAATCAGCGCCACATCGATGTTTAGCGCAGACTGCTAGTATGAGTCTTCACACCTTGACTCCTTGAACGCTCTTAATGAGTAAAAGCGATAAGCTGCTACTACTGCACGCAGGTCACCGGATGACATTTTGGCAAAATTCACTTTATGCGAGTGAAATTGTTGCATTAGCTTTAATTGTAAATAATGTAATTGCACGAACGGAATAAACCTTAAAAAAGTCTGAACACTTCCATATTGAGTTCCCTCCATTTTCAATTCCTGTTTACACCACTTCCCTCATTTTGAGTGATTCTAGAATAATTTATTTATATCAAATGGCAAGCGTTTCAATGGTTATTAGCCCTTTAGTTAACTTAAAGCTTCACAGAGGGGAGGGGGAACATCAAAGTGAAAAAAGTCGAGAGTGTGGTGAGGGGAACAGAAGAGTGTTTCAAAGGCGAAGACACAAAGGTAGAAAAAAAGGTGATGTGAGTACTGTGACGTAGTCGAATATGACATACAGTGGGTTGATGGTAGTTTGAAGTGAGAAGTCAACTGCTAGTTAATAGACTTTTTTGCCGTATGAGTATACGTTGCCCAGTGTGCACCACGTGGAGGTAAGTCTATTCCATATCCCGTCTTTGAATTAATATTTTTTCAGATTGAAAGTGCCCATTATAGGCGGTTAGTTTTCGCGTACGTGCTGCTGCCTCTGTAAAGAGGAGATATTGTTGAGTTAAGGAGGCTAAACTTAATAAAAGTTTTAAGAAGGCCCAATGTAACTGCCTAAATCAAGTATGAAGGAAAATTCTTCATGCTTTGAAATAAACCCAGTTTAAACATTCGGAAATTTGATTTCTTTTACAGTGTTATGAGTTGCTTAACTGCCTTAGTTTAGCTAACCGGATACCTTCCTTTAACTGATGATAAAACAGAATTAAATATATTCGTAAGGTAACCGTGAATTGGTAGAGTGTATATTTCAAAAGTGGGGTGTGTGATAGACTTACCTCCACGTGGAGCACCCTGGGCAACGTATACTCATACGGCTAAAAAGTCTATTAACCGGCAGTTGACTTCTCACTTCAAACTATCATTACACCACTGTATGTCATATTCGACTACTTCCACAGTACTTACCTCACCTTTTTTCTACCTTCGTCTTTGAAACACTCTTCTCCCATCCACCCTCTCGACTTTTTTCACTTTGATGTTCCTTCCCCTCTGTGAAGCCTGAAGTCAACTAAAGGGCTAATGGTAACTATCAAGACGCCTGCCATTTGAGATAAATAAATATTTCAAAAGTGAAATTAAAATGATTCAAATGAATTGGGAAATTTTTGA